TTCTTATTTTCTTCATTTATGTATCGAATAGATCAAATTAGTAGAATACCAGATACACATGACCTACAAATAATTGAAGGTTGGTTCACAATGAGTTGTGGTGTCAGTGCGTGGCCTGTGATGTCAAGTTATCGTAAGTTTAAGAAAAATGTATCCTAAAGTTGCTATGACCTCACATGGCTTCTTTAAAAAAATCTTACCGAGTGCTCTTTATCATAGACTATTAGAGTTGCTGTTCATAGTCACAGAAGTTGCGCGATTTGGGAATGTGAACCACGCACACCTCATAGATTGATGTGTTTTTTTTTAAATCGAACATATGGAAATTACATTGCATGCAAACTCCTATGTTCGCATTAAAAAAAAACTCAATGTATGATATTGTCGTGCTGGGCATTTTTTTGAAAAAAAAAATTACTTGATTTACGAAAATAAAAATAAAACTGGATATATCAAATTACAAATTTACTCTGTATATCATCACTAAAATCCTAAAAATATAAAATGTCTTGAGTTCACTATATATTTTTGATAAAATGCCTACACGAGTTTTACGTTATGTATTATGAACGATAATACTTTATTTAAGATGGTTGGAGCCGACAACTAAACGGAGTTTGGACACATATTCGCATCCACTTCAAAATACTGTGCATTTCAGAGCAACGTCATTATAATGTGATCTGTAGCGAACGATGGATTGCCATACTACCTATTGCGTATTGCCAAAGCATAGAGCACTACAGAAAATGGACCGCTCTGTGTTGTACAATACATTGGCAATACGCGCCCGGGGTCACTGCTTTGATTGTGTATGTTGAAGAATATTTTCGTTGTCTAATCTATTTGTGTATATTCCAGAACAGGTTGGGATAAGAGAGGCAATGGTCGCCCTGACAACAGTCACAGTGGTCGAGGATCTATGATAGGCCTTCACTCAAGCAAGATCCTTGACTATTATGTTGTCAGTAATTACTGCCGAAGGTGTGCTCTTGGTGCCAAGGAAGGTGATCACGAGTGTGCCCGAAATTATGAACGTAGTGCCAAGGGCATGGAGTCGCATTCTGCTGTGAAGCTGATAGCACACAACTCAGACCTGAAATAAGCTGGAACTGTGGTTGGCCAGTTCATCAGGGACAGAGACCCCTCCACCACAGCACCGCTTCGTAGAGACTGTTCTACACCCATTGAGAAAGTGGTAGACTTGAACCATAACATGTCTGGTTTCAACAATGCTCTGTACCAGTTGAAGACAACACATAAGTGGCTACAAACCTCTCACATTGCCCATTTGAAGAGACAACTTGGATATGCCATAAAACAGAACAAAGGTGATGTCGAAGGCGTTCATGTTGCCATCACAACTTTCGGAGAGCATGAAGAATGCGGTTACTAGTGCAAGGTCAAACAAGACCCTGACAACTATGTTTACAAGGATCTTCTGAGGCAAAAGAACTTCTGCCTGGATAGGCAGCGATGGCTTACACACCGGATCCTTGTTCAAATTGCCGTCAAGTGTGGAAGCATGGGGAAGTCCTGGTATATGATCCCCAAGAAGAACATTCATGTGAAAACAGCAGACGTTACTGGTCTCAAAATGACCGCCGGGAAGCATTATCATCATGGCACCTGTGTTTCCACCTAGGTTTCCACAACTCCTCCGAAAGAAATATTGTGAACCAGCTGTTACAATTTCTGCAGCAGTGTGGCGACTCTGTCCACTTGGTTGGTCACAATATCATCCGCTTTGATGAAGATTAGTAAAGTTTCTCAAAGAGCACGGTGAAATAAAAGCTTCTGCTGATTGTGTTGCCGGCTTCTCTGATACAATGCCTGTCCTGAAGCGAGGCAAAATGTGCAAGCACTCAGCATTAGCTGAAACCTACCTCACCGGTCCATAGTGGGAGGAGTTGAATAAGTCAGCTCACATGAACTTCATCCACCAAAGTATCTCCAACCCGTGTGTGAGAAAATATGGTGACCTTCAGAGGCTTCTTGAAGCGTCAAGATGAACTTAAGAGTAGAAAAAGCTATTATGTCAGAGTCAGCAAGACTATAGTGGATATACAGTGCTATTTATTAAGAAGTAGACATAGGGATTTATGTGTGTCGTTTTTCCCTATGTCTACCTTCAAAAGACAAAATCTCTTCGCCTAATTTTATGCAACCAAAATGATTTCTTAAAACAAATTATTCTGTATTTTTATATTCGTTCGTGTGCGATGTATTCAACCGAGGAAGAAGTTGATATTGTCAATTGGTATAGTGCTGGTAACAGTTTAAGGAACGTAAGAGATTTATTTTCTCTTAAGTCAAAGCAACAATATTCAAACTAATTAATATGATACAGCTAGATGTTTATTTGTTTTAAGAAGTTATTTTAGCTACTGAAACTGTTTCACGATGCTCTCCATTAAAATGTATGAAAGGTTCTCGTTTACTGCTGAGTTGTTCCTAAATCTAAAATCCAGCCTTCCATGTTACATCCAACAAGGAGTAATTCTTGTTCGACAACATTAGCAGTAGTTTTGTTTACCGAGCCTTTATTCAGCTGGCCTTTCTTCGAACAAAAGTATGGCGTTAAAAATGAAAACCTCAAATTAAAAAACAAAAACTGTCAAATTCGCCATTTTTAGCTCATATTGGAAGGTGCTATTATAGCCACTTTCTCCGTCCGTCCGAGGCCTTAACTACTACTACAGTTTTCAAGATATTTAGTTCGTTCTTTTTGCATTCTGTAGCTTATAATTGTGAAACCTCACCCAAGAAAAATCTTAGCGATTAATTTGCCCAGTGTCAACATTCTTATTTATAGATATGTTTTTTTGACATTTTAAGCAAAGTAAAGAGAAAAATATCGCTATTTTAAACATTACATGTGCACATGCGCAACTTAACTTTCTTATTTATGGGCAAATTTTATTGAAAATTTATTTAACCACAAATTATTCTAGTAAATATAAGCATATCGCATGTTTTAACCATCGGGTGTGCGCATACGCAGACTGCAGAATGCTAAATTCCTTTGTACACATAAATAGTCCGTTACTCGTCTGTTTTCATTTTTAAAAACTTTGGGCGTTTTACAAGACCAGATGTTTTCTGACTGTGAGAATTTTTTTTATATGTTAGTTACACCTAAGGCAAATTATAACTTTGACATTTTTTCGATCCGCCATAGTGTATATGGTGCATGCCAACATGGAGTGTTTTTATTTGGGAATTGTGCTTTATGAGGTAAAAGGGCCAAGTTCATTTGAAGCTCTAAGATCTGTAAATGGTGAAATACAATCTACTTTTCAATCCCCTGCCGTATGCCACCTTACAAGACACTGCACTGTTGGACTCCCTCCCCAGATTTCTGAATTCCTTTGTAATAATGTTGGTATTTTGTAAAATATTAGGTCCATTAGGACTTTGGGATAAATTCAAAAATATATTATCGGATGATTATAAACATCAGATCCAGAGAAGTATATTAGAGGATGTTAATAGCTTTTGTAGCAAGGTATACAACCAAAGCCTTAAGGTTCGTGAGGACTTTTTTTTAGATGCACCAGGTGGTACCGGAAAGACCTCCATTATCAACTTATTTTTGGCTAAAATTAGAAGCGCATATTACTTCAGATGTCGCCACGTGCTGAAGTATTAAACAAGCATAAATTGTGCACAAGTCTTGTGGAGATAAAGCGCATTTTTTTAAAACCGAAATAGCTTAGTTATAATGGTTACTTTATAAGGTAGTAACATGCTATATTTATCGATGTTTTCTTTTTTTGTAGATGATTAATGGGTAGCATAGAAGGCCCTTCACACATAAACATTTAAAGGTCGCATGGAATACATTCAATGCAAGAATATGCAAGAAGAATCAAGCCCTTAGAGACATTCTCCGAAATATTGCGTTTTGTCTTTGTAGGCACCTTCCTCCAACATTTTCGAGATATTCACAATTAAGTATTTACATCCCTGGTAGATGTGTCTTCTCTAGGCTTTCTTTCTGCCCTTTGAGAGTACTCTTCTCCGACACTCCGTTCTGCGGATATTTGCACTGAAAGTTTTGACATCGCCAATTCCGATACTTCGTTTTTAAGATATTCACTTCGACTTCACCAATAGATATTGGGTCGTATGAATAAAAGTAAGCAAATGCTTATACTTGCAAAATTCAAAGCAAATACTCGTAAGTGCTCCTTCGCACTGGGCGACTTAGCAGCGCTTCTAAGCAGAAGGACAGGACGCAGTGCAGCGCTGCTAAACCATGCTAAACAGACCAGTATGAAGGGGCAGTTACGAGTATTTACTTTGAGTTTTGCAAGTATAAGCATTTGCTTACTTTTATTCATACGGCCCATTATGTATGTCTCGTCCATATAATCCATTTGGCCTTTGTGAGTAGTTTTCCCCGACAAAGCGTTTTCAAGATATTCGCTCTTAAAGTTTTGACATCACCAATATATTTCTTCCAGACGTCCCAATCGCCCATTGTGAGTATCCTTCTTCTACAATCTGTTCTTCAGATATAACGAATTATTTATATCCGATCACGATAAGGAGTCGAGGAGGAGTACTATGGTTGGTAGAAATGAATTGCTTTCGTTAAGACCTTCCATTAGAGTACCATGAAGAATATAACCAGTTCCATCCCCCCACCCTCAAACTCGCTCTTTGGATAAGGAGTCAGAAATAAGGGCGGTAGTTGGTAGAAAACAGTTTCTTTAATTAATTTCTACGCCCTTCCTCCTCCGCCCGGGTAGCTACTGATCTCGAAAAGAAGTCGCGCAGGAAAGTTATAGTTTGCACAGACCGATTGTTTTTAGTGAGACCTTTCATTAGAATACCATGAAGGGTAGAACGTGTGTTCACCCCCCGACCCCCTTCCCCATTTTCAAAAATTTTACTTGGTAGCACTAAAGGCATGCAGAAGTTCGTCCGGACCGACGGACGGACAAAAGATATAGTGATCTTTAGTTTGCTTGGTTATAACCAAATAGCCTTACCTTATGCCTGTCCTTCATTGATCCTCTTCCTAACACAGCCATTTTGCACATTGTATCCTCTTGCAACCTTTTGAGCGAATTCCCCTTTGGACCGAGTAGTTTTCCAACAAAATTAAACTGAAACAAATACTGGAATCAGATTATGGTACGTACAAATGAACTCGTTTATTCGCATTCAGTAAACAGGAATACAATTTATTCAAAGTGCGAGAGGTGTAAAGAAAAATCTCGATGTAGGGGTTTAAGCTTACAATGACACATTTTATAAAATCGCTTCATTACTCCAAATTCGCTTTCAAATGAACATTAGTTAAAAATACGTCTAAATGGAGTAAACAACGTTTTTCATTAAACCGCTAACTCCGTTTTGCGCATTTAGTGATAAAAATCTGCTATGAGGGGAAATATTTGACATTCGACGAATACTGTATCCGCTTTGTTTTTAACACTTTACGATGTTTCGTGTTTGTATGTCAATTAGATTATTTATTCTTTTGGTTTACCCAGTCAGATTGAAATCAAACAAAATCGTGCTGTTTATTTTTTATTATTTTATCGTTATTTCTAAATAACGAGAATTAAAACCATATTTTATTAAAAAAAGATTACTGAACTGAATTACATATGCAATGAACCACATAAAATGATAAATAAAAATCCAGTACACCAATCACTAATTTTAATCATCATTTACATCAGTGTTTGCGGTTGCGTTCAAAAATCAAAAATGTTTATACATTAGGAGGTATGTTAAGATTATTACTCAGGATTTCTCTTAATACGTTTTTAGGGCTTTATTCTTCCCTCAAGTGTCCTTAACCTTTTCTCTTAAGTTCACAGAGTTCTTTCTTTTGGATTGCCTTTTACGTTATGATCTACTTGGATATTACCTACGCAGTACGCCATCGCATTTTTACTTGTACCCGACATCTTCTATATACTATGTGATCAAAAATGAGTTGCTGTCAAGTCACCTTTGGAATTTTTGTTTACATGGGAAATCGTACTTATCTTGAACTTCCAAAGCCAACTCGACAGCAACTCATTTTTGATCGCCCGTTATTACACTAATAGGTAAACATTTGTTTAGTAAATTAAAAGATAAAACACCACAATCTCAAATGTCAAATCTAATTTATTAATTTATTCAATTAACTGTTTAGACATGTAATTTAACTTAGATGTCAACGTTTCGAAAACGTCAACCATTTTTATCAAAAGGATGTATTAAAAATTCGTTATTTGCTCCTTTTTTTTCTTAGCTGAATTTTCTTCAACTGACACCGTATTACCATTATAAATAGTAAATAGGTACCGATTGTAATTTCGTCATTCGAACATACAGTGAGAAGTAGACACGGATTTCCTATAGGAATTTCCTATGTCTACTTTTACATGATAAAAAGTGTCCTGAAAGACGCTTAATTTTATGCAACCAAAATTCTTAAAACAAATAAAGATCTGGCTGTCATATTAATTATTAATTTGAATATTGTTGCCTTAGCTTCACAGAAAATAAATCTCTTAAGCTCCCTTTGACTGTTATCGGCACTATACCAATTGGAAATAACAACTTTTTCTTTAGTTGAATACATCGCACACGAACCGAAATTAGAATAGGGCGTCTTTCAGGAAACTTTTTATCATGTAAAAGTAGACATAGGAAATTTCTACAGGAAATCCCTGTCTACTTCTATCTGAATATCACTGTATATAAGGTAATTTTGTTACTGCCCAAAGTGAACGAAACAATTTTAACTCGGGTATCCTTACTTACGCCAACTCGCACTTTTGTTTAACTGAAACGATCACGAATAAATTGGTTCTTACATTACCTGAATCACGATTTTGAGTCATATCTTTGAGTACGTAGGCAAATTACAAAAGCTTTTCATTTTTTAATTTATTGAGAACCTATTTCTTCTATAAACTGCGATTTCTGGAACGCTCGTACGTATTCTAATTGCCAAGGAGAAAGTATCTTTGACGGCGCTTTTCTTGTTAGACGTTTGTTGTGGATTGTAAATGAAAAGGAATTCATTTCCAAAATGTTAATTAAGGAATAAACCTAATTATCTCCTATCATGTCTGTTGTGGATTGTAGCTTTTCAATCGTCCACAATAATGGTGAACTTTATAAGTAAAATAAACTTGTTTTTAGAATAACGCTGTACTAAGGAATAGAGACGGTACGCGTGACCGACGTTTCCTTTACAAAATTTACGTGTACATTTAAGTTCTCATTCTGTATGTGCCAATGGTTTCATTTAATTTAAATCTGGAGGATTTCATTACGAATAGCACAGAATTGGTTTACGTCATCTGAATTTCTTATTTTAAATCTAGTTTTCTATTTTAGAATTGTTTTTAATTGCATAATTTTGTCATTCGTGTAAATTTGTAAGATGTGAAAATTGCGTTGTTTAAGGAAGATCTGGGGGGTGCATTTAAGTCCTATCTACTCGGATGCGATAAGGACATTGCATTTGAAATTGACGGAAGTAAGAGTATGATATATGAACAGGCGTTGATGCGTTCAATGAAGAGCCAGGGTGACCTAACCCATGGCAGAGGTATATCTATCTACACGTGGGCCTTCTCACTGGACGGGCGGGATGGTGATATGCCACCTACACAAATTGCACGAGATACCTCTGACGTGAAAAAACTGAACGCCTGGTTCAACAACCATCCACCGTTCCCATGAATAGATAAACTAGTATCCATTAGCAGTGGCACTGTGGGCGAATCATATCATAGGATTTGTTCCTTATCTTGGAAAAGACGGCTTGCCGAGTGTTTCACAGTTCGAAGCGACTTCTGCTGATGTCATCAAAGAATACAACAAAGAGGCATTAGCTAACTATGCGTACGTACGCTGATCTTCTATTATTATTCTATATTACACTACCCTAGTGGTTCCAAACAGCATACTGAAAAATCAGAGGGACATCATGTTTTGCAAATTTAGGGACTTTGACGGCTGTTTCACGTAAACCGTTACCTATAAGTATTCAGATTCATTAATCATTTAAATCTGAAAATTTGCATACCAACATCATTTTTTATGATACATCAAAGCAAAATATCGTTTCACTTCCGGTTTCACCGGATGTCGATAGAAACTTTCTCATGTTACACCACCTCCTGGTTGCTCAAAGGATGTAAATATTGACGTCTTTGAGATGGAAATTGTTTGTGAAAATGGGATCATTATACCATCCGAGTCTCCTCGCGAAGAAAACGTTCTAAAAGCGGCTCAAGTAATTTCACTGCCCTACAGGCAAGGCGATCAAAATCGTTGCAAAACTAGAACCCAAAGATTGGAAATATTATCAAGCACGCCCTTCGAAGAAGAACTTGAAACGAGTCTTCTACAAAAAAAAATAAGAACTCTTAAGAAGATAAAAAGAAATTTGACTAAAAAGAAAAGCAACCAGAAAGTAACTACTCGTTAAGGATATTGTGCGGTGTCCAGGGTGCAACATAGAATACCCTGAATCTCCACCTGAAGATTCGATAATGTGTTCTGAGTGTGATAAATGGTGGCACGAAACGTGCACCACATATGTACAAGGTACAAGTAAGTATGAAACTTATTTCTGGTCACTTTTCAAATAAAAATGTTTTATAATCAACTATAATTTTATTGTTTATATGACACTATTTTACATCCGGTAAAACCGCAACTGCTGTTCCCCATAGAAAACAAATGACGATTCATCTTAAAATCTATTCTTATTGTTAGTTTTAACAAATCTACGAGCTTATAAAAAGTATAGTAGAAGTAGAGTGTAATGAACAGAGCTTGTAAGACGCGGACCATTTTAAGTATAATACAGAATGACAAGGAATCAATAAATAATCTTACAATTGGAACAGTAATCCCTGAAAAGAAACTTTTGACGTCAACCTCAAACCAAGAAAGAATTGATCAAATTTTCTAAAAGAAGCGCGGCAGTAAAGAGAAAGTTAATTGAAATTTTGCTAAGAGGATTTAAAATACAAGCTTAATTGTTCTATTTCTGTTTATACTTAAATTTGAATGCGCGACTCAGTTCTGAAAATAATTATATTTAATTAACCCCGAAGACGAGTTTCAATTAAAAAGTTTTTGTGAGACTACTCTGAACTATTACGTTTTCGTAGTCCGTTTTCGGTTCATATAATCAACTCGAAAGCAAAATAATGTAAGCTCGTATCCGTTTGATGACATGAGCGCAGTGGTTTTTAGGGCAATCCCTAAGTAACTAAAACAACGGTTTTATGTGTTCAGAGTCCTTGCAAATGTTTGTATGATTACATATCGATGCGCAACAGGCCGCCTTTATTGTTACATAATGTACGAGGGAAATAAGAATACGTGTTAAATCTCTAGAATCTTCGCACAAACTGCCCTAAGTATCACTACTCTGATTAGGTCATTTGACGCGGAGTAATCCGTTCTATCAGAACCACTTCTTTATAAATAAGTAATTGGATTAGGCATCCTACGCAACTAATAGCGACTTTGCTACCAAACACATTTTGTTACCTTCCTCTTTTATTTATATTCCCGTTCCCTCTTTCAAGGATAATTGAATTACCTACCTTGCAAACATATAACCTTAGCCAACCTTAATCTAAAACCCGTACTACTTCCGAAACGCGTAAGATTTCAACGTTTAATTCATTTAATCTCCTTTCAATTAAACTATGATAGAATATATTAATTAAACTTCGCGATGACAAATATGTACCTAAATTCCGAAACTAGTTAATTAAAATTAAATATTTAAGACACAATTAAGCGATCTAAGCGAAGTAAATGACATAATGTAGCTGTAAAAAAATAACTTCAAAGCCCATACTAAAACTCGGGTTAAATTTAATTAAATTTTCCAAACGAGCAAAAAAGACTCGTTAGTCTGTTTAATTTGATAGTAATACTTTTGATTTAGAGTGGGGGTTTTATTTACACGACATCGTTAATTGAAATATTTCTATTAGGTCAAAGCTCCGATTTGGATAAAAGTTATAAGACAATTTTAATTCATTAAAAGCTTTTCTGGTTCACCGTTTTTCGGGAGCGTGTTTAGGCATCATTTAGCTACTTTTCCATAAAAAAATCAAACCAACGCATTTAATTTTTTTGAGAGAATTAACCATTTCTGTCGGAATGTCAAAAAAAGCCCTCAAGCGGCAGTATGTGAAACTAACAAAACTTCAAATATTATAATATTTGTAGCTGAAGAATAACTCTTTTCAATTAACCCGAGTTTGTTAAAATCGGCTCAGTCGTTTCGAAGATACTGGGTGTTCTTTACGGAAACCTTTGAATACCCCCCCACCACTTCATTTTTAGAGGAAAAATTGTCAAACAAAAAAGGTTCAGATTATCGTCAGCATCAAAGTTTTTTTGTTAGGTTAATATGGCGGAATTCACAGAAAAATCACTTTTTTAGATTCCAGATTGCAGTTACGCCCCCTAGCGGCCATTGCAGAAACTTAAAAAATATTTTCCAGGTTTTTCTCATAGCCGTTTTAGTAATAATTTTTTTACCGCAAGCCTCTACGATGAACAGGTTCCCGGATACAGTACCTCGCATTCTTATTTGGCCACCCTGTACATACTTAATGCGTCTTCGGGTCACAAAGCATACTCGAAAACCTATTCAAAGATATGCCAGAAGTCTTGCTTCAACCTCTTATGGTTGCTGAGAAAAAAATTAAAGAGGAAGCAAATTTCACCATTTCTGGTTCATTCATTGTTTATTGCTATATTTCTTATCTATACAAATAGATTTATTAACATTTATATCTTTCTTACAACCATTTTTGGCTGTAAATAAAAGAGGACTGGTCAAGTTATATGCGTTGTGTTTGATTGGTAGTACGAACGTTCTATAACATATTTACAATATTGTTGTCTTTTACAGTTTTATGTTCTTGTTTTATTGGTTACAAAGCATGTTTAAATTTGACTTGTCCTATATCCAGAAATTGGATTAATAACATTATTATTATTACAACAATGGTTTAAAAGCTGTTTCAGCTTGTACAATACAAAAATAGTATATAATTATCATTTTTGTTATCTCAACTAAGTTCTGAACCCTTTACAGTTGGCATAAAGGTATAACGTATTTCATTAGACACGTTTTATTATAATTTAAGTTTTCTTTGTTTAGAAGTGGTTATGTATAACTGACACAGCTGCGTTATTTATAGAAGATATTGATGACAACTTTTGTGTTACTGAACAATTAGTTTCCATGCGTTCGAATTAAAGGGAACGACAAAAGGATCAGATATTTGTCAAGAATTTCAATATTTGTAATATTACTACTGATGGAACATCGAATATGACAAAGACTGGCTTTGTAGGCGTATTCAAGGTAACCATTTTCTCGGAGCGAAGTTCGTGTTATGTATCAAGAAGCTTTGTGTAAATCTGATCAAGAAATGAAACAAGTGCTTGATTTTGTTATTCAGGTTATTAATAGCATTCCTTCACGAGCACTCAATTATAGACAATTTCGAGAGTTTCTTGACGCATTGCAGTCTGAATATTTTTATGTACACTAAAGTAAGGTAGGTCGGTGAGGGCGGGGTTTTGAAGTTTGGGATCTAAAAGACAAAATCAGTTTCCTTAATAAAATAACTGTTCTAATGCCTAATTTATGCAAAGAAACTGGATATTACGTGCGCAAGTTGTAATTTATAATAATTTAGGTGCATATTATGTACAATACTTTAAGAACAAAACAAACTTTCATGTTAGGTATTGTTAGTGATAGGGAATTTGTTGCCACTCATCCCTACTGGCTCATATTCAATAGGGCTGATTCTTGAATTCGTAGAAATCGATTGGCGAAGGTTTGACATCGCCGTCTCTTTTCGTTCTCGAGTTAAACGAGAAACAGACAGGCAGACGGGCAAAACCATCACATAACGGAAATTTTTTCTTTCAAAAAATTTCTCTAAAAGGGTTAATTTCCAAAATTGTAAGGAATACACCTAATTAACACCAATGATGCCTTTAATTTGCCTTGTGTGCTACTTACAATAAAAGAACTGGTAAACGACGTAAGAAGGGGCCTAACGCTATCACCTAGCTAGTATGTCCTAGTAGTCTGGGTGAAGATAAGTGGTAAATTAATTAGTGCATTACCCTAATACTGGCCGAGTACATGTGGTGATTGTTTGCTCGTAAATGTAAGCTTGATTAAATAAAGGCAAACGATTAAATAATGAAAACCTAATTTTACATATTTTGTGGTGGGTATCAATCGTGATATTTTTCATTATTTACTTAGAAACTAAGTTCTACGCCAGGTCAGCCGGTTACGTTACGTAAACAAATTTGCCAAGAAAATATTCCGTTTATATCTCTACGCTTTTCTAAAATTGGTATAATTTGAAAACTAAGTTACAGAAAATTTGTTTTGAATGTCTTGAACAATGGCTGCCAGTGAAATGTAAGTGCTTCGACTTGAAATATCCTAAAATTCGTTCGTTTTGTTATATGAATACGCTTTAGAAAAGCTTTTTATCAAATGGATTTGGCATATAAGTTGCCGAGTTAAAACTAGTTTTTCTGTTAAGCGTTATTGATGCCACGCCATTACTCCATATTGACAACCCTGCATACACGTTTTCGCTTATTTGTAATAAGAAAGTGATTTAATATTAACCGTCTATTTTGCAAATTAATCAATTACGTCTAAGAAGTCGGTGCTTGTACGCTAACGTTTTGTTAAACGGGACATTCAAAGATGAAGTTAAATCCAAACAATGCTTCAACATTGCAAAACTGTAACATTGTATTGTAGCTCATTTATACCCTTTTTTTTCTTTTTTAAAATCTTTAAAATAATATTTTTCCGAAATCGTCAGGTTTTTGGCATATCTTTAAATATGCTGCTAAATAACCTGCTAAAAAATATAAACCGTTATCTGCTACCACTAACAATCTCGATAAGACTTTTATTTTATTCATTTGAGAATTCGGCGGCCTTGATCAATTCCCGACAATTCCAAAGAATTCTTTAACCAAAATTTTAATTAACACTTGTCATAATCAAATAGAAAATTTAACATGAGATGTCGTAATTTGGACTCGATCAAACACAAAGCTAATCATTTACAGACAAAACAAATTTATTTGAAAAAATCAACCAAATAAGTCTGAAATATAAATAGGCACTCAGGACCAGAGTACAAATATCACGTAACAAAAGATTGCTATAAACGATTAATTAAAGAAATATTTAGTGTTAATAATCCAAAATCTCCGGTGTTAAATGCGATATTAATAAATAGAACGGACAATTAAACACAAAAACCAAATGATGCAGTTTCTGAAACCTCAATTCTTTGATTGCACTTAAATTTAGATTTAGACGAGACTGGGTTCGTCTGTCAAAACTATTTGCAGTTTGCTCTTTTCTAAGTGTTGGGACTGCGTTTGAAAATGGCATCCATGATAGAAAATCCATCCAAAGATAACTTGCGTGTTCTAGGGGGAAACAAGTTCCATTTTTGGTGTACAGCAAAAATTCGAATTCAAATTAATTCACGTTAATTCAAATTAATTCACGCTAATTTAAATTAATTCACGCTAATTCAAATTAATTCGTTAATTCAAAATAATTCACGTCAATTCAATTCAAATTAATTCACGTTAATTCAAGTTAATTCAAATTAATTCACGTGAATTCAAATTAGTTCACATTAATATACATTAATTTCAAACTAAAAAATTTGTTTTGCGCATGCCGATCCGATTTTTTATCTCCGTTAGTTATGAACCGAATTACATGAAATGTATGTACGCACCTCGAATAAAAGTAAGATTAATGTCGAATCAAACAAGTTGTTTTGCGCACGCGCAATCCGATTTTTTGACATCTCCGTTATTTATGAACTGAATTACATTATATTTTGTATGTAGGCACCTCGAATAAAAAGTTGTTTTGCGCATGCGCAATCTGATTGTTTTATTTGTGAAGATATTTAAAGGAAATTTTGTATGTAAGCACTTCGAATAAAAGTAAAACGAATGCGGAAGCAAAAAATTTCTTTCGCGCATGCGCAATCCTTCACCTTCCTTATATCTCAAGAGTGGATTGTGGGAGGAAGGTACTTACAAAGACAAATGAAATGTTTAAAAAAAATGCGCTATATTATGCACAAGAGGCACAATGGGGGTTTACAGTATAGTACAGTTCTAATTTAATAAGCGTGTACCTAAAACCATAAAACATTTTTTTGGACAATAAAAGTTTATTTAAAAATAGAGGCTGATTAGCAAAAAAATAATGAACGTGCGGTTTTAAAGGTTTATTCAAAACGATATGATTGTGGCGGGCTCTGTGACGTAATTAGCCCGACCAATCAGCTCCTAGAACCATTCAGATGACATAACGACTTGGCAATATTGCAGGAGAATGGCATTTAGAATAAAATATAATGAAGTTTAGTAACGTTTATATTATAATTTTTTCTCTATGGCTATCGATTTCGGCAACATTGCCATCATCAGGCCTAGCTATAAATATATTCTGTATTATATAAACAACATAATCTTATACTTGTGCTTACCGTCAAGGTTTAAAAGGCAGCGTATTTATACATGTCATGAAGTGCGTTGCGTGTTACTGACGAAAGTGGAAATGGAATGACTCTATTGAATGATAAAACATTAGTAGAATTGAAACATCACAAACAACCAATATTATATAAATAAATAATTAAATTATCCAACTTACATAGAAGATAAACTAGTAGCAACGTTGTGTAAAGTGTGGTTATAAAGTGTTAAAGTGTGGTTATGTTGTTTGCAGTGGCGTGTATGTGTAGGTTATTGAATGGGGGTATTAAATTATATATGTGTGATGTGTTGAATTCTGTGATTTCGTTGGTGGTGATTGTGTGGGTGTTTCTGAGTGCTTTTTGTATTTCGAAGTGTTCTAGTATGGTGAGTTTATGGTAATTGTTGCATTTGTGTAATAATTTAGTGTTGTTAATGTTGATGTCGTGATTTGTATTTTGTATGTGTGTGCCTATAGCGGAGTGAGGTTTATTTTTCTTGTGTTCATTGAATCTGATTTGTATATTACGCGTGGTCATGCCAATGTATATGCGGTTGCATTGTGAACAATTTATTTGATATATGCCTGATTGTTGATGGTGTGGTTCTTGTGTCATTGTGTTTTTGAGTATTTTTTGTAACGTAGGGTGCGATCTTGTTGTGAGGTTTAAATTGTGTGACTTTAATGCGTTTTTTAGTTTGTAATGTATGTGTTGATGGTATTCTATTGATATATATTTATTGTTGGTTTTGTAATGTGGGTATATTGTATTGGTGATGTGTTTTTGTTTATTTTTATGATATATATTGTGTATGTATTGTGAAGAGTATTGGTTATTAATGCCTATTTGAAAGATTGTATTTAGTTCTGCATCGTATTGTTCTTTGTTGAGTGGTATAGTAAGCAGTCTATTAAACAGCATTTAGAACTTGCGTCATCTGTCACAGGCACTTGTCACTTTCGTGCTAGATGCAGTTAAACATCCCTCTCAAAACGTCAAATGTGACTAACGTCAGACCCTCGCGTAAGGTTGCCAGCTCACTTCTACGTGATTGATTTTAGGTTTGTGACGTAGCTTTTCAATAATTTATTTTGGGTTTATTTTACTCGCAAATAAAAATTGAGGACACACGGGTCTTTTTATTTTTAATGTACTTTGTGGATCAGAAATAAAAAATGAAGGCGGGATGACCCCATTTATCCTTGTTTACAATATCATCGCTATTCTCTTGCCAGCCCCCCCCCCCCGGATTACGGCCCTGTCCCCATGGCACACCTTACCGGGTGCACGAGGTTATCTTTCATTAACGCTTTTATTGGTCTGTTCTTTTACATCCAAAACTTTTACGGGCCATGAAACACAGAACAGCTTTCCACGCCCACAACAAAGGAGAATGGAACGGCTGGTTTAATCAAAATTCGGACCCTCGATTTGTGTATGTTCAGGTCCGTACAGTCACGGGTACAATCGGGGTAAACTTTAATCTTTAGAGTGAGCCCAAGAAATATGGGCAAATGAGACCGAGAAACCACAGACGGAGCGAGACATCGGAACCATTTTCAGGTCTTTAAACATTGTGATTTTTTTATCAGGACACCGTCCATATCGGCACAAAAATGAAGACACGACTGTGCAAGATGTCTACTGCCTTATTGATGGGCACGCACGTTGTGAGCGTCACTCATTTACACAGTGTTTTAGAACAAGAGAAGATCGTTCATGGCTTGACGAAATCCGATCTTGATGGTCGGATGAAGTTCTAAAAATTATTGACCTCGGTTTCTGGGAGTGGTCCGGCAGTAGAAAGATTCCGATGCTACTGATGTATTATATTATGTACTTTTAGTTAATGTTTTGTGCGCCTGAGGAATGGCAACCTTCAGAGCACGCCAAGCACGTGTGAGAAGGTGGCGCCCTCAAAGGAATAGATATAGGCATATACTGATGTAGTGTCATGGAGGATGGTTTTGTGTTTTGTATTTAATATACGTATTGTTCAAACCAAGGCTTTTTTTATTGATTCTCTATCAACTAAAACAACTGAAACGTTTCTTTTGATGTTGCGAGACGTTCTTATGGCTTTCCTAGACCCTGATGTTGCAGCCGAAGACAAGAGTATTCATGATTTGGAGAGCCACCTTTTCCTTTAGACTCTGGCGTCAATGGCTTCTCCAAGGGCATCCCGATGATGGTCACAAGCTTGAGGAGAATTTTATTAGCTCAGCTTGTTTCAATTGCATAGAACTCAATGCATCATCCAGCTCATCAGACGCTTCCGGGGAAGTGAAACATGAAGAACTTTTTATTGTGGCCTTCTTCTCTAGTCAACCCTGCGAGACTGTTCCGTGCCGTAAGGTCACTAACGACAGTTTTTGCTACTGCCATTAACTTTGATATGCAGCAACTGTTGGATCGGCTACGTCGTATAGAGCTTCAAGGGCACATTATAAACACCTTAAAAGATTTTGTTTTTCCACGGTAAGTCTACCACGAAATGTTTACAATAGCAGGATAGTCGGCTGATTTTTAATGTTTATCCCTTTGAAAAATACACCGGAAGTCGACTTATCACGTCATAGAGGTTCTGGCAAAAATAAACTTTGGTTTACTTGGCGGTAAATACTAGAGTAAATTCTAGAATTCTATTAATAGAATTTATTATAATTGAGACCAAAGCAATGAGTGATACCTTTCCGTTGAGAATTTTTCTACAATTTACTAAACTTTTAAGTATTTTTTCGATAATTTGTAGACCCTTTAAGAAGGATATGGAGTCAACCAAACTAAGGGAATACAGGACAAAGCGTAAGCTGCCATCCAATGCCGTGATTCTCGCCTCAGTTCCACGAGCCCGTGAAGAAGCAAAAGTTCTGGCTGCTTACTTTGCCATGGATGCAGAGGTATTTATAATTTTGATAATGTTAACGCGACATAGCAGGAGGACATAATTCACATTCACAATTCACACCAACTAAATGTTGGAAAAGTAACATTTTTTGACCGTTATGTCGATGCACGTATGTCACAAGTCAGTTTCAGTTATGGTACGAATTAGTCGCTACTATACCGGGTGGTGCCTAGCGCGACGCAGCATAGGGATTTCAATGGTAATTTCTTTATAGTCAATTACTAGCTCGCCTAATTATTTTAGAGCAAAAGTCTAAATAGGTTTTTTTTTAGAGAAAAAAATACTGCATCTGTTCATACTATTACTCATAATTTTCCGTGTTTCAAAACCGTAGAAATCCACAAAATAAAAAGGTTCATTTTACAATAAATCAGATATGCCTTGGAATTACCTGAAAAAACAGCGATAACTTTTCATTATTTGCCTTTGACGTATATTAAATTTATACTTCTTTATAAATTAGTTAATCATAAAATTGTTTGTCATGTATTTAACTGAAGAGAAAGAGGAAATCAAAAAATGCAATTCCTAGAAACGCTCTCACGATATACGGAAATACTTGAAAAATCTGCCTTCATGTGACTCTAGCTCTATAGATACGCGGTGGTATTCCCCTAATCCCCTCTTCGTATTAATTTCATCCACCCAACATCGTCTTTTTAGTGTTGAAAACACTTATAGGATGCTAGTTTTGAAGTTTATATATAACGAAATCATGAAACGCTCAAGTGTTAAAAAGCTGAGGTAGGAAAGCGAGAGCAGATTTGAAATGCGACAGCCACAGTTCGTGAAAGTGAATTGCAGTGGTTTGCGATCGGCTCGGCAGTGGTAAGATATATAAAAACGAAATCGGTAAATTTCGGTTTTTCCGGCATATCTTCGGAAGTAATTGGAATTTTCTGGTTTTCTTTAAAGCATGATAATAACTCTTTAATAGCGCAACTTTTCCATAATTTGACGATCTTCGTATCTTATATCGTTTCCGATATCCCCGTGATAGACATCCTTATCTTGTAGTTCTTGGACACAGTGGATATTACAAGAGTTAAATGAATATGCGCTTCACGCGTTCCTACGTTAGTAGGACAAAGCATCTTAATCAATCTGCGATAAGTTGCGCATTAATTGTTATTTATTTTATTTTATGTATGTAATATAATTACTTAATGCAATCCATCTGGAACAAGTCTGTTGCTTTTGGCATGTAAGTTGTATACAAAGAGTTGAAGAGTTTATATATGTGGATCATATCTAAGCTGTCGCCGCCGCAGAGAATGGCGATTCCTTTTTAAATCACAAAATCGTCTCAGCTCTTCATATCACAAAGATTCATGGTTGTAATAACCGACTATTTTTATGTGTAAAGGTGTTGAAAGCTTTTTAATGCATCCATATTACGATTACTGTTCGCATAAAACTGAAGTATCTGTAATCAAAATTTGCCCGTAAAATTTTCTTTTCTCGTTTAAGACCTAATACTGTTAGACGATATCTGATTTGTACTATCGTGTTTATTTGATAAACTTTATCTCAAGAATAAGCATTTCTCGATAACATGTGCTGGTATGGACTATTACAGTCTTTATACCACATAAAGTGTTATAACTTGTTTACTGAAGAAGTTGGATACTTATAACGACCCCACTCGTTCACAATATGCGATTTATTTCTATACTGTAAATAGTCTAAAATTAATAAAATGTTCATAATAAAACTATAGGTATGATATTGTAGTGAAGTTTTTGATAAAACATTAATTTAATTAGTTTCGCCAATCGTAACCAACATAATAAGATCCTAATATTAATGTTTTGCATTTTATATTATGTAGCTTCTTTCTTCTAGTCACTTTTTTTACAGGTGGGGAAATGCATTACGCACATTCTGGTAGAGGTCCGGAGTGTTGAATTCAAGATTTCGAGTGGTAATAAAGTAATAGTAAACGTAACAAGTAACAAATTTAATTTACGACGGTGTCATTATGACAGATTTGCAGAATTGCCAAAATTATTTTCAACATCCCCCCTCAATTCTGTTAATGTTATATAAAGAATTGTCACACCTAAAACATCTCTAAAATAATTAAACATGTCCAAACATTTGACGGTTAAAACATCTGAGGGGATTGGGAATGTAAGGACGAACTTGCAGGGGATTAGAAAGCAGCTATGATGGTTTTAGTTGAACGCGGAACTGGGGTCAATTCTACCCCCGAACCAGATCATAATATTTGCATGGCTTTTAAGTAAGACGACGATATGGAATATTGTACAATTACGCAAAATAGTCTTAACAATACAGAAAAAGAACATACATTCCGTACATAAATGGTAAATCGTGCAAGTACATGAATTCTCTTTTTATTTGTGTATTAATAGCAACAGATGTAATTCATTTTTAATAGAAGCGTTTGATAAAAATTACTTTGAAAGCACGTATTAGTTTGTAGGTTTGTACATATGAGCAATTTATTACATTGTTTAATAATGTAAACAACAGCCTTGTTATGACAATTAACAATGTTATTCTCCCGACGATTCTGTTGCTAACATATGTTTTATCCTTCACATACATACAATAGTTGGAATGAACACAAAGGCATGTCGCGATGTATAGAAACGATGAAGTCAAATACTGTGCTGCGATATTTTACATGCTTCTAATACCAACGGTTCATTACTAGAGAATGTTTCCACATTCCTGTTATAGAAAATAAATCTTTTAGTTAGTTACGTGCCCACTGTAAAAGTGGTAATGTATCCTGTATCGTAATTATCTATTTCAAATATATAAAAGTTCGATATTTGGAAAGGGGCGATATTCTACTAACGTGATTGAACCTTGATAACAACAAGCTTAAAGGTGTTCCCTAGACTATTGCTACCCCATGTCATTAAGTGTTTCATATTTGTTTCTGGTTCGATAGTGATTAATAAAATGTGAATACCTTTCGAAACTAAACATATTGTTCGTATCTGTAAGGTCAAACTTTCCCTTCACAATC